GGTTCGTCATAAGAATCGTACAAATACTTATTGCGTCTATACTTTTATCCACTTTTCCTATTTTTTTTGTTTATTTCACAAATTATATTAACTAGTAAATGTTGTATGGACTATATCTATCTTAAAGACTTCTGAGAATATATAAAATATCATTGATTATAAAAAAAGAAATTAAGAAACTACAATTTCATACAAAAGTTTTTTGGGAAATTGATGGGTGTACGAATACATCCTACACCCACTGTATATATGTCGCAGGGAAATGATAAAAATAGAGATTTGATCACATCCCTAAGGTAGATGATCAATTCGCGGGAGATGTTAACAGTTGGCATACGGGCAACGTATTTTTACGTTTTTTGCAGTGTGTCACTAGAGCGCGGGTCACGTAAAAATACGTATTTAGTAGATTTGTGGTGGATACCCGCTAACAAATGCCCGCTGCACGCGTAATTCGGCGGCGAAGTATGCCCGCATGCCAAGTGTTAAAATAACAACTCTGTGAGGTCATTTCCCTAAATAAAGTAAGTGATTTGATCAAATCCCTTAACTGTTTTAGTGAAAAGATGGAATAACATTGTTTAGATATTAAAAGTATTAATTTAGTAAATCATGCGTTCTTAAGTGTAGAGTACGTAATACAACAATAGTCGTAGAAACATAAATTATTTATTCGAAACTAATTAGCAAAAGAAATAGGTACTTAAAAAAGTAACGTACTTTGTAACTCGGGATGCCACAAATCGACACCATGTTTTAATAAAAATGAATGAACATTATTATTTATTAATTACATTCTCTAAAAATATTCTTTTTGTTTTTTAAAATATTAGCTTAAGTACCTATTATATATATATATGTATGTATATATGTATATGTATACATTTTATATTATAGTATAATATATATACATTATTTTAACAAATACATGCTTTTACACATGTATTATACTATAATATAAAATGTATATACATATACTATACAGGGTGTCCCAAAAGTCGGGGAGGAGCCGGAAATGGGGGGTAGCTGAGACGATTCTGAACAACAATTTCCTTTGCAAAAATGTCGGATGGGACTTCGTTAAGGAGATATTAAGCGAAAACCCTGACCAATCAGAGCGCGCGTATACCGCTGGAGCGGCCGTGGTAGCGAAGGCTACGCGCTAGGGGGCAGCGTCAATGTCCATCGATGCACGTCGAGTCACTTGTTCGCGTACAAGCGTGGAATATATACATTTTTATAAAGTGAGACAAATTGCTTCATTCGATAGCTTTATGCGCACCTTCGACCGGCATCTTATCCATCGCGTCGTTGTAAACTGGAACTGAGCGAGTATGTAGTAATATATGTCGAAACTTGAGCCGAGTAACTTCATTGTCTAACAGTAAGTAGTACCGTGAGTGGGTTCCATTATTTGTACTCTACGATTAGTTTGAAAACAGAATTCATTGTTTACCTTTCGAAAACAATTTCGCTTCTATTAGACTTGTCCGAGTACGCGAACATTCTTTCACACTATTCGAGTAATTTGTTTACTCGTATTATTTAAGCTTCTCGGATTACAAGAAACATCGGTCGGTTCGATTGCGATCAAAGATGGGCAACACTTCACTCGAATAATAGGTGACGAATGCAACCTGAGTACACATTCCTTATTTACGGCATTGAAACTTTTGTTTATTTCTTAACTATGGAATATTTTACCCCGCAACTTGAATTATTATTTTTATTTAATGACAGTATTTATCACTTTTTGCTACTAGTAATAAATATTTGTTCGTTTCAAGTAGAAGACGGATATTCATTGTTTTCTTGTTTGTTGAAGAAAGGTAGTTCTCTAGCAAACATTTTCCAGTTTTGACTTGCACGACATCGGATGCCCAAACACGCTTGGATCGAATCAACTTCTAGGGATTCGAATTTATCGATCGAATTTAATAGTGGGTAAAGAACTGTGGAATGCCCAACTATAGTTCTCAGTGTCAATCACATAAGGAACGATTAGAAATTTCACGCTTATTTTCTTCGGTAATGCTACGTATCATTCCTCTACTATTAATTTGACACTTTTTTCAATTACACTTAAAACAATTAATCAATACTAATTCAAAATAGCTTTCAGATTTTCCAGACTGGAGTTCAGATTCTTTTATTCCACTAGAGGGATGTTATCGTCAGTAGGGTGGGGAATTGGGAGATCCTCTTCAGAATATAAATTCTAATTGTAAGATCAATCAGTATACTGCGGATATTATAAATTGATGACGTACAATAATATATAAAATATAAGTAATGGATGTTTAATATATTCTTCAATTATTATACTAATATTGTTATTTTATTTTGCATAACATACCGTTTGGTTATATTTAGCATGTATTTATTATAATAGTGTATATCATAAATGCATAAAATCCACAGTCTATTAATCAGAAATTTAACACGTGAGGAAACTAAAAACAGAAGCAGTATCAAAATATTATAAAAATGATTCAAAAGAAACGTATTAATTACCATTGTA